TTACGGGAGTGGTGGACAAACGCATCCTTTGTCGACCGATCCACGTCGAGACTCCCGCGCTGTGCCAGATCAGCTGATTGCTGGCACAGCGCGGTGGCCATTTTTATTTTAATGAGGCGGGGATTATTTAAATCCCCGCTTCATTGACTATGTCGGGTAAACTAGTTTACATGGCTCTGTAGGCAGAACTATGTAGTCTAGACACATCCATAGTGTAAACATGGACTTAGTCCCCTGCTTATGAGTGCGCTTCCTACCTAACTTCCCAGCTAGACTCCATTGTGGGGGTGAATTCTCTGACACTACAGACAGAGTTTGCAGCAGGAGGCTCACTTCTTGCTGAATCAGGCTGATGTACAGTTGGGGTTCCCCATTCTGGGTCCATCTGGGGTCTAATGGCCATCTCTATGAGATGTTTACAGAAGCGAAGTGCCTACTATTCTTGGGTATGGCTGGGGAAGATGTGGCAACTACTGCACTGAGCAATGTGATCCTCTACAATATGAGCTTCTCCCAGGAGTAGAGGCTGTGTTAATGGTTGTTGCTGACCAAGAAGGATCACGGTCAGAAGATGCAAAGTTTGAAGTTATTGAAAACTATTAAGGCTATGAACTATTTAATATTATTTTTTCAGAATGACACTTGATCTGAGGAACCTAAAGGTTCCAACTTGGACTGTTTGAAGCTGAGAAGGAATTGAAGAGGTGATCAGCTCGCCCTGCCTTTACCACTTTGGTTGGAAGCACAAGGTAAGACAGAACAGATGCACAGACCAATGAACACTATTTTCAAATTCTTTCACTCCAGGCACATTGTGCAGAAGAGTAATGTGAAGTGAAATAAAATAGGGACCATCACTCCGAAAAGAAGGCTTCTTGTGCCCCTTCCTTCCCTTGAAAATGCACACAAGGGCTAGGCACAATTTGATGCCAACTCTGTGTATTCCAGAGTTTTCTTTTTCATGTATAATTTCATTCGTATAAACCCCTTGAGCAACCCCTCAAAAACCCCATTAGAGTTTTATTTCTCACTTTTTTTAAAAAAGTGGAGTCTGTTGTGCATTAATTACAGCATTCTGCAGAAACCTCTGAATGTCATTTACATTCTTAAGGCTCCCACCAGTCCACATTTGTTTCCAAGAGAGTGAGAGTTGCAGAGGAGCTGCATTCTTCCCAAGCAAGACAGCCATGCCTTATTCCTAGTAAGACGTTCCTTTTTGAAAGTAGTGAATTAATCTCTTTATGAGCATTGAGCAGTCTCCCAAGCCTTCCCTTTTTCTGGACAGGCAAGAGTAGGGATGATGGTCACAGACAAAGTAACATAGGAATAACATTGCACTATAATTAGCCAGGGAGGAGGAACCATGAAGTCCAGAGCTGCTGCTTGTTGGCTAGTGATCCCAAAACAAATCTGTCTCCCAAAAAGAAGAGGAGGAATCATATTGTCCCAGAGATTCTATTCCCCCCTTTGTACTTTAAAAGCCTGTAATCAGAGGTTCAGGAAGAACACAGAGGACTGAAAAATACTGTTTAAGAAGAGGAAGCTACCAATAGAGTTACGAATCCTTCCTATCAACTGCCAGGTAGGCTTACTACTGGGATTACTTAAGAACTAGAATTAAAATAATTATTACAGCCTGTGTGTCTCCAATAGCAGAGAAAGGATTTGAACAAGGATTAGGAATTGCAGCATATATGAGGTGAGGAGCTCATTTATACAAACTCATTCCCCCAAACTCCACAATTCTCAGCATAGATCTTGGGAATGTTTTTGGCTCTGGCACACCATTGTGACCTGTCCTTTTGGTAGCTGACCATCTGTGTGCATGGATTTCTGAGCCTTGAAAGGCCACATATCAATTTTTTCTTGAAATTAATTCTTGCTTTTTAACATTTCTATTCACAAGAATTTACCCAAGATTTTCCTTCACTCGCTCAAATTTGGTTTTTTTTTTTTAAATTGCTTGTTACCTTTATACTTATGACTACTCTTTTCCATAACATGGTAACTTTTATTAGTCCAGGACTGCTTGTACTATACTAAGCCTCCCTATTATTCTCAGAGGTTATAAAGCAAATACTGCTTCAGTATCAAAACAAATTAAAACAAGTACTAAATGTTTTATGGGGTTAATTATCTTACTAAAACACATCACTCAATAGAACTGTTTATTATCTTACATTTGAAGAGGGGGGGGGGAAACCCCAACCTCCAGTCTCCTGTATGCTACACGACAAATAAATAAAATGGAATCCTGCCTTGAGTTTCAAACCAAGCTTGCATAAGTCTCAACAGAAGTTTTTCCAACATACACCCAACTTCACATTTAATATAAAACACTCTATGCAGTTTTAATTGTTCATTTGTTATCTGATAATTCCATTCCAGTTTACCAGACTCTCATTTTATCTTTCAGACTTAACAAAAGATTCTTGCCAACTATAAATTATTTTTTGCATTCTTTCACAGGAGGGTCCTAATCTTAGAAGTGGGGAATTTCTCCTGCAAGGTGCAGAGCAATGTCAGCTCCTACTGAAGTCATTTAATATATGTCTGAAGTTACTGGAAGATGAAAGTGCACAGCATCGCACAGATTCAGGTACTTATTGGCTCTTGTTGAATTGTATCTGATTAGATAAATAGTCTGCTACAAATGTTTTTGTGGAGTGAAGGTGATATATAATGCAAATAAGGGTACCAATATGTGCCATGAAGTCACTGTTTAACAAGTGCAGATTACAAAGACCATATAATATTTTACAATTTTGCTCTCAAGAAAACTAGTCATTTCTAATTTTTCCACTCTTTTTAGGAGCCAGTCCAAACCCAATTGAAGTCATCTGGAACCTGAGTGTCAATGAAAGATAGCACATTTTGTATAAGTATTGTCAATTGACCCCAATATTTTCTGGAGGTACAACTTCAAAAAAGCACACCCCAATCCTGCAACCAGAACTCCACAGATAAATTGCAGCACTCAAAGTCCCTCTGAAGTCAATAAGCCCATACACAGGTACAGTGCTGCATGCATTCACTTTTAGGATCAGGATCTTATTTATTAGCTTTGTCTTATTACTATAACATTGCAGTTTAATTTCAAAAAATTAATCCAAACGAACATGGAACATGAGTGGAAGACCAAGATACAATTCCCAAGGCCTATATATTAAATATATACATGTGTTTAAATATTGACAGCATAGCGTACTCTCTAATGCAATATGGCAAAATAATTCTTAATAGAAAAATGAAATAAATAATTAACATACTTTTCATGGTCCCATCTTCTTCTTCATCAACATCATCATCATCATCGCTATTTATCACCATAGTCCCCAAGTCTGATTCTAACATAGTACTGTTATGTTCAATCATTGTCTGAGCACTTTCACTCATTGTGCTTGTAGCCCTCATTGTACCAGCACTCTCTGAATTAGTTTTCACCATAGTGTGGGAATCCAGCTCATCTTCATCCTGCAAACAAACATTTATCTGGAATTATTTTCAGCAAAACACTTAAAATTTCCTTTAATTTTTTAGACCTATGCCACATTTAAGTTGAGAAAGTATAAAATGTTGTTTTCAAATATGTATCTTGTCTGCTAAGTTGGCCTTTAGGACCCACTGAGCCTACTGTAATTTCTACCCCTCAATTCCCTTTTACATAAAGGGCCAGTTACCTTGCAGGAGACCTCAATCAGGTATGTTGATTATCCTCCCCTAAATTCTAAGGCCTGTGGTCTGGGATTCTCTGGTCCTGCAACATCTGTGGTCCTTTTCTAGATTAGACAGCCCCAGCACAGAGGATGCCGGCAGCTGGGAGCAGAGCTGGCTGGTGGCACCAGTGGGGCAGCAGAGCTCACAGGGCAGCAGAGCCCACAGGACATCAGAGCCCGGAGCTAGCCAGGCTAAGAAGCCAGTGAGGGTTCCAGAGCCCATGAGGCAGTGGAACAGCAGAACTTGCAGCCAGTGGGGCCGAGAAGCTGGCAGGGCTTCTGGAGTCTGCGAGGCGGGGTGGCCGCCGTGCCTACAAGGCCAGGAAGTAGAGGGTGCAGAGCTCACCTCTGGCAGCGTTGCAAGTACCGGCAGAGGCCAGCAGGTCTGCCAGGGCAGCAGTGGTAGGTAGCTGGGGAGAGGAGCCCAGCCAAGAAGCTGGCACCCCTCCCCGCTCCTGATCTTCTCTCAGCCTGAAAATTCCCTCATCCAGGATTGGTCAGGCTTCTGAGGGAGCTGGGTCAGGAAGGTCCAACCTGTACTGTATGTCATGTGTGATCTCAAGGATAGGAGCCAGTTAAGTTTGAGAGTTAGAAGATCCTTGAGAAGAGCCTACCTCGAAGACAGAAGAGCCAATTTATCTGTCTGTATTTACTTTTTAGCAGCCTCTTTCATGATAAAAGGGCAAGAAGAAAACATGTTGATACATTGTAGAAAAATATCTGCTGAGCAGATGCTTCAACACTGTAAAAAAGAACTAATTCCAGCAAGGGCTACAATAGCATTTTCAATCAGTGGCAGTAATGTGCCAGGAATGTAAAACAGAGAACTGATGATAATCCAGTTTATGAATCATAAAATCCATATGGAATACAAATATTTGAAAACACTATTAGGAAATCCTACTCCTTTTCTGAAGTCAGATTTAGAGAATGTGCACAACATCATAGCAATTCAAAGGATAACATGGTGTACTGTGATTTCTACGACATGGGTAAAATCTACTGTCCACAAAAAGAATCTAAGAGCACAAATATACTTCGTGTTGATTGTACAGAAAAATATTTGTTAATGCAAAACCTCCAATTTCAAGCACTTCCTTTTAAATGTTCATGCTATCTTTTGATATTCAGTTCTCTTGGGGGAAAATATAAATCAAATAAATATGCCTATTTTGACTGTCGTGGCATAACATCATTAGAGTTCAGGAACAGTCACCACAGAACAATGCCAAATGAGGAAGCCAAATATCACTAATCAGAGCTAAACAAGTCAAAATAAGAAACTGTCCTGTGAAACATGGTGTTTTTTCCTGGGAAGAGAAAAATTATTATTTGTTAGGCACAGAAAATGTGTGTGGTGCTGCACATGACCAAATAAAACAAAGTTAAATTTTCAAAATAAGAAATGGTATTTATAAATGGAAGTAGAAAATATTATTCTGCCCACAGAATTATGTTCTGTGTTTGTACAGTGTCTAGCAGCATCAAGTACTGAGCTACATCTTAATGGACAAGTGCCTTTCCCTTTCCCCTTTGTAGACCCCAATCATATTAACTTTTCTCCCAGCTATGACAGCAGAATATAGGCATTCATGTTACATTTAAATGCTTATCCAGTAAAAGGCTAGAATGGGCGGACACAGCATTTTTGTTAGCAATACTATCACCCTGTCTCCTGAAGACAAACTACTATAAAGTAAACCAATCTATAATCTTGGAAGTTGGAGGTCTCATTCCAATTCTGGGCCTCCTGCTAACAATGCAGTGAGTTGTATAGTACTAAATCACATTGTGATCTAGAAATAAATTCTCTTGTAGATCAGATGTCAAGAAAACAATGATTTCTTAAGGATGAAAAAGAATTCTAAACCTTTGTATTTTAAATAAAATTACTTCACTTGTTTTCTTTCTGAATTTTTTCTTAAGTGTAACCTTCATTCCTTTAGTATCTTTATTTCTGTCTTCAACAATTGTGGGGGAGGGGAGGAGGGGAGAAATATTCGCAAAGGTACAGATAATTTATAGCTAAAGCATTAGAAAAATTGTATCAGTGTACAGATGAGAAAATTTTAACAGTGCTCCTCCTGGTGGTAAAAATAAGAAGCAAAAATTAACTCTCATTGAAATTATTTTGTCTACAGCAGGGGGTTTTCAAACTTGGGTTGCGGGCCCACTTGGGCAAGCCACTGGGAGACCAGAAGATGCTTTGTTTATCTAAGCATCCATAGGCACAGAGCCTCACAGCTCCTGTTGGCTGCAGTTTGCCATTTCCACCACTTCCCACAGCTTCCCTTGGCTGAAAATGGTGAAACATAGCCCACGGGAGCTTCAAGACTAAACAAAGCATCATGTGGCCCAATGGCTTACCCAGGCAGGCATGCGACCCAAGTTTGAAAACACCTGGTTTACCGGTTACCTAAAGATTTTTTCCTTCTCAACTAAGTTACTTGTACTGTATGCTCTTTGGGTTAGGGACTGACATTTTGTTCTGTGTTTGTATAGTACCTATTACATGTGGCTGCTGCTCCTTGATGGGATTTTACGAACATAAGAACGGCCACCCTAAGTCAGAGCAAAAATCCATCTAGCCTAATATCCTGTCTTCCAGTGGCTAATGCCAAGTGCCCAAAGGGAATGAATAGGTCATCATCAAGTGATCCATCCCCTGTTATACTTATGGCAAACAGATTGTCCTTAGACATTATTGCAATATGTATAAAGAAGAAAAAAGTTGTGTAGAACATAGATACATTAACTACATTATTCATTAAGGTAATACACATTCTGTCTGAATCCAAGTAGCCAAATTCGCTAATGCAACTTCACCCTTTTTTATCCAAATTTACAGAATGAGTGTGAACGTAGTGCTATTTATTCTGGTAAATGTTCCAAACAAGATTTGCCTTTAGTATCCAGATTAACTTCTGCAAGTAAGATGAGGAAAAATTGTTTGTTTTATTAATTTGCCCGACCAATATTAGTAGCAATGCCTAATATTTGAACCCTTAAACCTACTATAACTGGATATATATATATACACACACACACACACACACACACACACACACACACACACACACACATTAATTGTGTTTATTATGACAGCGCCTAAGGACCAATGACAAAGCTGTCCCCTCCCCCATGCTACAAAACACAGAGTAACAGATCATTGCTGCCCTGAAGAGCTCATAATCTAAGCAGACAAGATAGACACAGGGTGGGGGAAGGGGTATTACACACATGCAGACTGATGTGATTGAAGCAAATATCATTTGGATTATACAATATATTTGTTTTGTGCATTTAGTTAGGAGTGGATAAGATAAATGGAGATGAGAGACTAAGGGAAAGGGGGAGGGTGAAGGGACTAAAGTACAGAAGGGCCAGGTGTGGAGTGAAGATCTGGTGAACAGATTGTGAGGGAAGGAGACGGTGGGAGAAAAAAGCCAGTAAGCACATGGCAGAGAAAGTCCTGTCAAAATCACAGGAAGTTCCCTGAATGTCCAAAGGGCCCCAAGTTTGATTGCTTATGCAGCTGCTCTTACTGGCTGAAAGATCTGTTATAAACTTTGTTTAAAATTTATTAAGTTTTTTAATTTAAAAAATTACCATGATGGAACAACTTGGTTACATCAACCATAAGCCAGACAACAGGAAATAAAGTCATTCTTTTCTATGTCACCAGTTCAAATGGGATCAAGATCAATAGTGACTGAAAGTCATTACAATCTTATGATTGTTCGGAGATTTACCAGGTGGTTGTTAAAAAGCCTCACTAGCATTAGCACTAATACTGTCAGTCTCTGAAGAGACCAAGGATTGAATGACCAAAAAGGATTTGGTCTAAAAAGTGTTTTCTGCGGGACAGTAGTATGAAACTTCTATTGCTGCTGCCCATTGTATTTAAAAAAAAAGTTTTGTGGATAAAACCAGGAAATCAGTTTCCAGGAATGACAAAATTCTTTCACAAATATCAGAGATGTAAATAATAGCTTATTAGACTTTAGGTGCACTGAATAAAATCTACTGAATGTGTTTATAAAATTATATCAATATATGTTTACACAACAGATGTAAACTACTAATAAAAAATATGTAGCTGGTTTGGTGAAAGAATTTTGCAGCAGTGTTTCTGGGGTGCTGGCTCTGGTGCCCAGTAACTGTGGTAGCCACCCACCCCCATTTGGCTGGGGTGCTCAGGAGTAATAGATGCACAGTCAGATTCCCTACTAGCCTGGATGCTGATCCCCAGAGACCAAAATGACCACTGGGCAGACCAAAAATGCATTGGGACTATCCCACAACAAAACTCTTTGTTCAAAAATGGAAAGAACGTGTTTGCAACAAAATGGAATGGTGTGGCATAGACTCGCGTTTGTGAAGTGATAGACAAGAGCAAGCCAGACAAAGGTGATTTTTAAAAAAATTAAATGACAAAACATCAATTAACACAAGAATGACAAATTTAGAATAGCAAGGATAATAAGTGTTGAGGGTGACACTTCATCCTCAGATGATTCCTCATGAACAGATAATATTGAAATGATGAAGGATGGAATAAAATAACAGCTGAATAAGGAACGGCAAGTTACTGCTTTTTTATAGACAAGCGTAATTAACTCGTAAGTTTGTACTTGGTTGCATTTGGATATATCAGAAATACCATCATAACTATATGAAAGAAAGATATATCTAACTTATTTTGGTATGATGTAACACTGTCAATCATAAAAACAGTGTGGCTATGTCTACACTGGC